CATATTCTGCAAAGGGCAAGGGCTTTATAAAGCCATCCGGGGGACGGGGGGGGGGGGGCGGAGCATGCCTTTTGTGAAATACTTACTATTAATTTCTCTATATCCAATGATGGGATTCAGGATGTAAATGGAAATATAAGCCCTGACAAGTATAGAACAAATACAGAGAATCAAAAGAATTGAAAGTCTCCCCTAATACTGATCAGCTCTTAGTCTAATCTGTTCAGGTGACAGAACAAGGAGAACCACTTTTTCTTTAACTGTAATGCAATTTGCTACTTGCTGTTTCAGTGAAAATGTTTTCAAACAGTGAAAAAGCTGAGAAATGTGCATGAGGATGCCCAGAAGCCAATATCCAATACATGGGGGGGGGGGGGGATGAGAGCGAATAGGTGCCATTCAAAAGGAATATTCACAAATTGCTTAATTTAAAGGAATTAATTAATACTTTTCATTTCGTACAGATGGCAGTTCTGACAAGAATTTCTTGCCTTGGGCTTAGAGAAGATGATGCCAAAGACTCTTCAAAACCCTTTGTTAATATCTTCTTTTACTTGATCTATTCCTTTAGCACTTGCAGGACATACTGCAGATGGTGGCGGGGGGGGAGGGATATATTTTGTATATTGTACTACATGCAACACATTTTGCAAAAAGCCCCTATTTTTTATGCTGACATGCCAGAAGATGTGATCATTCTAGGTTGGTTAGCGAATGATACGTTGTGGAAGGATTGTTGGAAATTATTCTTCCTTGCAGGAAGGATAATTTTAGAATACATAATATATATTATATAACTATAACAATTCCATCCCATCCATATTTATAACCAATAAATAGATGGTTCATGATTGTTTGGAGGGTAGTTAGTTGGAATATCTTACTAAGTTGATAACTGATGTATTATCTGAATCTAAACTTTATTTTAACTATTCTTTTTTTTTTTTCCCCTATAGATCTACCCAGACAGCTTCACTGTCATTGGAATTTTTCTCAAACTTTTGAGATTCCATTTTTTTTTTCTTCCTCAGAGTCACTCTTTTATAGTAAAGTTTTCTAAATTTTCTAAATTCCAGGCTTGGTATGGGTTTCCCTCTGCTCATCTGAATGTGGCAGCCATTTGTGAATGGCCCCGCCCCTGCCCCCCTCAGCAGGCAATTTGTCTATACATTATTTATGCTGCATCTGATTTCAAATTATTCCCTTAAATTAAAAACAAACACACAAACACCATATCATTATGATGCTTATTCACTGGGTAAAACCTCTTTCAACTCGATATGCAATTCAGTCATTGGGTACTAGTTTGATTTATTTTGCAGCTCATATCATCTTTTTATTTTTCTGCTCTATATTTTAACATTCTTTGTATGAAGGCTGAAATATTCACTTCTAAGCAACCATACTGTATATTGGACACCGTTATCAAGGTAGTAATTTGGCAGAAGGAAGGAAGGAAGGAAGGAGGGAGGGAGGCAGGCAGGCAGGCAGGCAGGCAGGCAG